AGTTAACATCTCTTAGCCACCGTGATGATGATGATCAGAGAGTGAGACGCAAACTCCAAATATACAGCAGGCGTCAGGGTCGGGATCGGGATCGAACCCACGAAATCCTACATACCAGGCAAGGTAGTTAACATCTCTTAGCCACCGTGATGATGATGATCAGAGAGTGAGACGCAAACTCCAAATATACAGCAGGCGTCAGGGTCGGGATCGGGATCGAACCCACGACCTCCTACATACCAGGCAAGGTAGTTAACATCTCTTAGCCACCGTGATGATGATGATCAGAGAGTGAGACGCAAACTCCAAATATACAGCAGGCGTCAGGGTCGGGATCGGGATCGAACCCACGACCTCCTACATATCAGGCAAGGTAGTTAACATCTCTTAGCCACCGTGATGATGATCAGAGAGTGAGACGCAAACTCCAAATATACAGCAGGCGTCAGGGTCGGGATCGGGATCGAACCCACGACCTCCTACATACCAGGCAAGGTAGTTAACATCTCGCCATGGCGGTGGATTTCTGGCCAAGTCTGAACCGGCACCCGTGTCGCAAACCCACACCGACCAGCGTGTTTGAAGCATTGCCAAGCCCCCCGTGACCAACACAGTGTGGAGAGAGACCTTCGTCGAGCGATGGCTTCAGAGGGTTGCGCTGTACATTGTCATCGATGTTTCCGCGTAATAATAATGCCTCTTAAAGAAAAACAGGTGAGCGAAATCGAGAGGCATGGTGGGGAGGCCATCAACAAATCGTGAATTCAATCTTAATTTGGAGCTTTCGTGACTGTAGGAATTACTCTTTGGTTCTTTCGGTAAAGTCACGTATGAAGATAAAAGAAAAAAAAAACTATTTAATTTATTATTTAAAAGTCACGTATGAAGATAAAAGAAAAAAATATTTAATTTATTATTTTATCTTTATACGTGACTTTACCGAAAGAACCAAAGAGTAAATCGTGAATTGACAAAAGGGCTGTATGGTAAAAAAAACTATGAATATATTACACCTAAAATGCAGACACTGCATGAAGCAGTGTCAGTGTTGTAAGTGTAATATATCAGTACCATACCGGCTTTCACTTTGCCTCTACTGGTGGATGAAAGCCCACTCCAAATTGGTGCATTGACTTGCATTCCTTTACCACTGCGATCCATCGCAAGCATGAAGTCAAACCTGTAACTGTAAAAATAAAAATTCCGTGCAGCACCCGTCTTAAATTGAACATGTTCACGTTATTGTAAAACTTTTCTACTTTCATTGCCGTCGATCGAATAGAATTTGAACGGCTCTTTGATGAGCGCAACGGCAATAGTGTGCAGACGTGCGCACGGTTGACGGACCCAAACGCGTTCATTACATGCCGCAATATTCCAACGAGCATTGCCGAGTGTGAAGTTTTTTAAATCCTTTATATTAAGTTCACTTGCTTGCGCGCTTACGACCGTGCAAATCTTTCGGTCGTTTTTTAACCCACTTCCCGTGATCCAATCGAGCTGACATTTTGCACACACACTCGTTGTGCGTGACAATTTATTTTCGTGAAATTTTCCCCCCAAAATTTTCCACTTTTTTGGATTTTTTTTCATATTTAATTTAAAATACCAATGTGATAAAAATGACACTCTTACTCAAGAAAAACAGAAATGAACAATAAAATAAAACCGATGCCACGCATATAAAGGATTTATAGTGAAAAACTTTGTTTTTACGGGTAATTTTTTTTTCTTATTCTCATCCTCCTCTCTCTTTTCAGTCGATTTGTGCGCAAGGCGTCTCACGGGCCAGCAAGGTGCAACACGCGTTTCATCGCAATCCACGCCACAAGGTCAATTCCTTTTATATCAAGCCGGCACAACGGATGAACATACTCATAAAGGAGCAAAGTGGATGGTGGGTTTGATTTTGAGAGTTTGTGAGCAGTCACAGTGGGTGTCGTGGATGTCCAGCCCACCCCCACGTGTCTATACAGTATGTGGCTAAGAGACACCTACACAAAGCATGGTATTTTTGAGCCCTGTGTTTTCCTCCTTTCAACAACGTGACATAAATGTCGATAATGGCACCTTTAATTAGCGCGTGAACAGGAGGCTCAGTAACGCGTCAGTAGGAGGGTATACTTCATATGATTATAATACTGTAGTTCAGTTTGGTTCATCATCATCATCGGGCATGGTCAATCTGCTGCTGGATGAATGCCTCCCCAAGCCGCCACCACCTCTATCGATCCTGGGATATAATAATTCACCTGCACTCGGAAATGATTTTTAGTTAAAAAAACTAAAATTTAACAGGGGTTGTCAGTACTATATATAGCATGGTGACAGCAATTTATGATGGCATTAGTAACTTTAATCTAATATGCGAGGCGGTGACAGGCGCTAGTATGGTTCACCGCATTTTTCAGAGATTCTCAGGTTCGAATCCAACAGGCGCCCCAATCATTACTGAGTGTGTGTGTTAGCCACTGAAACTGTGCACTGTAAACCGAGGAGATGGACCCAGCGGATGTTAAAGATCCCCCGATGTAATCCGCACGTGTCGGCCACCGACTGCCAGAATAAGGGTACACATTTTCCATATTCGAAATTTACCCGATAACCACTCAATTGTGATTACTGTGTGCACAGCTACCCTGGTCTCCTTTTGTTAGACTGTTCGTTGGCAGACCAGGCGCTGAGTCACCTTGTGCCCACAGGGACAGCTGCCACTGGGGGTGCCCTTTCAGCCTGTTAGAGGTGAGATGTGATGTCAAGCGCTCCGAGATGCCCCGGCACACAGGAGGGTGCTTTATCATTAACAAAACATTATTGTTTATTATTAACCAATAGCCACCGGGAGCTATTCGTAAGGAGGAGACCCACGACTTCTAAGGCGCGACTGAGGCCCCGGTTGAGAAGAAGTGGTGGTGATTGGAGCATCCACGGTGCAGGCATGGACCCCTGTGTGTGTTCTTTACAGAATTGACTTTTTGAACGTTCCCCATGGTGGTCTCAATCTATGCTTCGTGTGTTGCCAAGTGCCTCCCCCACAGTCATCCCAATCCCTTTCTTCTCGTAAAAAAAAAGAAGACCCTGAATATTTTCTTTCAGCCGTTGCACTGCAGCGTAATTGAATATGTACGCGTGTGTTTAACTCGTGGCCTTGTCAATTTAAACATTTATTTCCAACGTTGTTTTTATCTCTCTCTATAATCAATAAATAAATAGCCATCCTGTGTCAATCCACGACTGAATGAAGGCCTCCACATGCCGTGTCAGCTGTTGTTGGACCGTACGTCACCACACGGGTTTGGTGATGAGGAAAGGGGTTGGGGCAGGAAGGCCTAACACCGGTTTAGAAATCCTTCAGTGACGTTAGAGGCCAACCATAAATGACGTCACGCATCTGGGGGGGGGGGGGTCAGACATTTGTGACGATGTGTGACGAGGGGGGGTGGGGGTTGAGAAATGTGACGTCACATCAAAATGCGCAACTTTAAATAAATATAAACATGCTCTACGTAATTAAATATACTTTTAAATGAATGTTTTCTTCTACAACATCAGAGTGCACCGCCACATTAAATACGCACTACAATGACAATAGTTTAAAGCGATTTGAAGCATGTTTAATTTTTTTTGCGGGGGGGGGGGGGGGCAGAGCTTTGTGACGTCATATTTGAGGGGGGGTCTGACTTTTTCTGACGCCGTGTAACGAGGGGGGGGGGGGGTCAAAAATCGTCCAAAATCGCATGACGTCATTTATGGACGGCCCCTTAGCTCTAACCGGGACTTGAACTCATATTTGAGTTGGTAGCGCAGTGTGGAAGCCACTGCAGCACTGCTTAACCCACGCTGAACAATACGTTCACAATAAAAGCTGTATTTTCTCCCATTCATCTCACTGCTTTAACTCCAACTTACGAGGTAATTCAGTGCTTGGAATATCAACAATTCAGTTTCATCTCAACCTATTACACCCCGTGTATACAGCACGTAGGCATCACGCGCAACTTTTAAGAAGATACACAATGGGTTTTCAAAACAGTTTTGCTGTACAAGAATGGAACGTATCCGAGAGCGCGTCCACCAAGGAGATGGATCCATGAAACAGCGCAATATCAAGCGACAATGTCAGTAGCGATGAAGAGAAGAATGGTGACGACGACGACGACGACGGACTTGAGCAGCACCACGGGGATCCCACTCACAGTCGACAGCCCCGAGGTCCCCTACAGGGGCCCCTCTTATACTGTCAGCGTGGCCTGGCTCCGCCCCCGGCCCCGCCCCCTTTCTAGAACCTACCAGCGGGTTCTCGGTGTGCCCCTTCTGTGACCTTTCCCCCCTCTGGTGTGTCACGTGGCTTGCTGACGTCAGGGCTGCCGTAAGCCGCAGATCCCCTTCCCTGCCAGCAGCCAGCGCTATGCTGCTACATTACTATTCCATGCCACTACAGATGTTTGAGATTAGCTTGTGTGCAGGAGCCATATAAAGTTGTTGTATTGCGAGGCGGCTTTGGGAGGCGTTCGTGCAGCAGTGGATAGATCTTGGTTGATGATGGTCCGAGAGCTGTGATGCCCATTCAAGGCAGGTCACGTCGTGACACGTGTTAGACAGACAGCAAGTCTGTCAATTCTAGATTTGAAGCGTTCGTGACTGCAAGGATTCATACTCTTAGGTTTTTTCGGTAAAGTCACGTAGGTAAAAAATTCAGTTAAAATGAATAAAAGTAATAATAGAAATAAAATAAAATAATTTATTTCTATTATTACTTTTATTAATTTTATTAATTGTATTTTTTACCTACGTGACTTTACCGAAAAAACCTAAGAGTAGCAAGTCTGTCATAACCTCCCTTTAGGATGCTGTGTAGTTTCGTTAATGTGTTATCTTGGTTAAAAAAAAAATACATATTGAGTATATTTTAAACGTAAACATAGCTCTTTCAACATGTATGTGAATAACACTGCCCCCACACACACACACAATAAAAAAACTCATATCTTAAAATGCTCTACAATACACAAAGCCTTTATTTGATTTTAAACATAAATACAAATGTAACTCCCAGTCTCTCTACTTTAACATTCAACGTAATGTTAATTTTAAAATAATAATACAAATAATGTTTCCACCAGGGCACTTTATGTCACTTTCATGTTTGTAAGGGTAATGCATTTATCTCTGTGACGGAGCCTACCTTCTGGTCCAATACAAAACTAAATATGGCATTTGCTAAATAAAGCTACTATAGTGATACAGTGTTCGGCTTATAAATAGGCACTCTAATACAAAATATGGTTTGATAAATGACTCATAAAGCAAAGCAATTAGTTAAAAAATGTCACAAAAATATGCACCGATACACTCGCGATTAATGTCAACGTAAGAACCCCATATCTATAGTGACATACAAAATACACCCATAACATTGTGCTTTTGAATAATCGTACCAAGAAACACCGGTAATATATTTAAATATACTATACAGGAGATGTAGCGCTTAGTTGTTTTCGGGTTACAGTGACCACGTATGTCAAAGGCCACCTTTGTTTATAATAAAAAAAAAGGCTTTCATTTAAGCGTTGACCTTCGAGCCTCAGAGCGGAGCATTTTTCCCCCGACATCAACCGCGCCTGAAATGCTGCGGCGAGCGGGGATAATGCGCACGTGACGGTGCGTAGCCTGAGACAGGAGTCCAACCCTTGACATGCTTTGAAGACGGTTAACTGAAGTAACAGATGTGTCCTTTTCAATGTGTCCACTCCCACTTGAAACCAACGTATATATATACCAAACTACCCAGTGTGCACACAAGCCACGTGATGTTCTAAGAGGCCACTTTGGTTAAGTATAGGGTGCCCGGTGTGCATGGCTATAAACACACTTCCTGGCAGACAGACCAGGTACACAGAACTGACTGCGCGAATTGACGGAGATGACAACAGGAAGACACCATCGTCGTCACATCGTCACCAATGAAATCACCACAAAAAAGGAGAACATGGGGAGGTAGGGGAAAAGGGGGGTTTGGTTTGAGAACGGCTTTTTCATTGGTCCATCGTACCAAAAGTTGATAAAAGTGTGTCTCTACTTGGACACTAGAAGTTGGAGAGATGCCGGTCATGAGCAGGAACGTTACGTGTTGTAGTTTTCTCAAGCCAAGTTGTAATAGTACCGAAGGGATTGAAGTATCATCTGAAATTGTGAACAGGGCGGCGTTCATCATCTGTGTGTGAAGCTCCAGTGTTCCACCTTTGTCAGAAATCGACACTAAGAGATAATTCCACTGTGACCAATTCAATAGCAAATCCCAATACATTTGTTTTTAGTATGCGAGTTGGATTGTTTTTTTTTCTTTTTACACATATGACCTAAACACACAACTGGTAACGTTGATCTCAACGATGGTTATTGTTCATGGGAGTCACTGTTCATGTTGACAATTGACAAAGTGTTTCGTGAGACATCATATAAACATTGTCAACCAGAAATGACACAGAAATAAATAAGACAATTAAAAAAAACGTACAGTAATGTACAAATGTAGTGCCACTTTTTTTTTTTTTTATCTAAAAGCAACTGGCACTAACCAAAGAGCAGAACATCTGACTAAGAAATACATTTTAAGTTTTCTTTTGTGCGCGCGTGTGCGTGTTATGTTTTGTACATGCTCTGTTAGCTAGATTGTAAATCTCGGATTGTGCATAATTCACGATTATCAGCTGAGCACAATGATTTGTGGAAGCAACTTCGGGTCTGGCAGTGGGATAATCAGAGCGTGTCCGCATGCAGTGCAGGCATATTGAAGTGGGAGAATACATCCCTACCCCTGTCACTCCGGAATACACCGTCTCAAAATATAGCCACCCTTCTACACCACTTCAGAGGTGGCATTGTTTATTGCCTACCGTTCCCTGCCATAGCTCATCATGGCATACATTATAATGTCCCCCCCCCCCCACATAGCCGTTACAAATACATCTTACGCATACTGTGTATAAAAATAATGTTTTAATGGCAACAACTCTGTAACGTAATATTACAATATCATCGGGTTATCCATTGATAACACTGATGAGTGGTTCTCAAGACCCCATCCCTCACGCCTCCATGCAGCCCATCTTCCCGTGTCCACCAGGATTCCCCATTCAATGTAAATGTATATAAAGATACATAGGATGCATCTCTTGATTGGTCAAACTATGAAGAGGAACTGTTGTTAATCGGAAAGGCTGGAGTTTAGAGAACTGCTGGCGTTGGGATATAACATCTGGCAAACATCGTAAGGAACACTCGAATCCTTAATACCTAACCTCAGACGTAATTGATTTGCTGTTCAATTTGTACTCCAAAACGAACTGTACCATTTGGTACATTATCAAAGTTACGGGCTGCATGAGAAAAAGGCTGCATGAAAAGCAGGATCGATATGGTGAGTTTATAGGCACAACATGAAGCAAGTACAGCACACGTGAAGGCAGGGATATACATCTAGACTGCACAAGACAGGCCTCGGTATTTGTTTGAGCCCCCAATTAGGGTTCAAAATGTGTCCACAACTCCTTCCTTAAACGACTCTACCACTGGGTATAGTTTTAGCCAATAAATTTACAATGCAAAATAAAACGCTAATTTTACATTATTCAATGACGATACTGTCGGTTTATCCGTATTTTTTTTCTTTCAAAAGTCACGTGTGCTGTATTTAACTCTGGTGGTTGTTTCTTTGCTCATTTGTTATTTAGTGTTTGTAATATATATGGCAAATTGATGATTAAATTCTTGTTTTGAACTCCTTCTTTTGAAGAGATCACGGCCTGCGTCCCACCTCTGTCACCAAATCTTTGTATCCAGTTGTGATGGGAGATTTCGGCAGGTCTGTGGGTCTTGTCAGCCTATTTTCTTTACGTGAACCTCCCTGCAATAAAACAAACAACAGCATACACAGTTGCTGAGCATAGGCCCAGCGACCCAAAACGCAAAGTGCCTAAGCAGAGGTCGCAACCGGGTACCCGATACCCGTACCCTACCCGATACCTGGCTACCCGTACCCGGCCGGGTACGTGTACGGGTACCCGTTTGCGACCCTGGATGCGGCCGGGTACGGGTACGGGTAGGCCGTGAGTCACTGGTGAGTCACCGTTTGTCGCTCATTTCGGCTAGGGTATGGGTAGCATACGGGTACCCGTACCCGGCCGGGTACGGGTACCCGTTTGCGACCCTGGTGCGGCCAGGGTACAGGTACGAGTAAGGAATCAAAACCCGTTTGCGACCTCTGGGCGCATATCACGAGCTTGTTTAGAGGCGGGAGTGGCACAATGCTCAGAAAACTTTAAACAGATGTTAAACTCGAAACAATGGGTAATAATGATACGCTCGGCTTTAGTCTACCTTTAATTCTGCCATATTTATCACCCCGTGTGTATATGCGGGAAGGCTGCTATGGCCATAGTTTAACTGTACTGCATTTAGCATTTTTCCCAGTGACTTGACTTTATCAGAATCAGTATTTAGACTGGAGGAATCCGATTAGCTATGAAGCTCCTTTCACAGATGTCTATAAGAATTTAGAAGGGAGGCAGAACCTTCTGAGGGGGGGGGGGGGGGGGGGGGCTTGGCTCCGTCTAGCACAGAGGTCGCAAACGGGTTTTGATTCCTTACCCGTACCCATACCCGGCCGCACCAGGGTCGCAAACGGGTACCCGTACCCGGCTGGGTACGGGTACCCGTACGCTACCCATACCCGTACCCTACCCGAAATGAGTGACAAACGGTTACTCACCGGTGACTCACGGCCTACCCGTACCCGTACCCGGCCGCACCAGGGTCGCAAACTGGTACCCGTACCCATACCCGGCCGGGTACGGGTAGCTGGGTATCGGGTAGGGTACGGGTATCGGGTACCCAGTTGCGACCTCTGGTCTAGCCTCCCCCCGCCGCCCCCGACGCTAAGGGGTTACGCGACGGTAAATCACTCATGACTGAGATGGCCTCACGGAGGCCTTCATCTAGAAGCGGAGTGACAATGGGCCGGACACATCACACAGGACCAGATATTGAAAGTTGGATGTGTACACTGAGCTTCCGGTGACTTAAAATTGTCTCAAATCTGATCATTGTTTTTTTTTTTAAGCCAACGAGTGAAACAGAATCTAAAGCCCTGAAAGTGTTTTCTTTTATTGATGTGTCATTCACCTTCAGTTTTAAACCATTTGTAATAAATACAACTTAATTTTTAAAATGCGATTGTATACGTTACATTATGCAAGTCTTTTGGCTTATGCATAAATATGATCTATGATGCAAAAAACACAAGGCAAAATGCCAATTATATACGGTGAGTTTATATATATGTTCTACCATTCGGTTAATACCTTTTTTTTATTACTTTGATGTCACTAGTAAGACCTCATTATCCTCAACTCTGCTCCACAGTTGTGCAGCGAAAATCCAATTACATTTGAACATCTGACAAAGCTACGCGCGTTACCTCTTCATGCCAAGGTAAGGAAGGCAAACAGAGGTGGTGGAACTTTTTCCCGGTGTGCATTCAGGGATTCGTTTCAGCGCGGGTCTGCCCGGGCCAGTGACCCGTAAACAAATATGTATGCACCGGGCACACCACATCCAGAATGCCTCTCGCTATGGCTGTGGCTACTGGTCACGCGCCACCTCCTGGGCGTGGAAATGAAGCCGCCCTGACCAATTAGCCACCCGCAGCCCCGTGCAGTGTTTGGCAATTTCTAAGATTTTCACAAATATAACCTTTTGAACATGCAGTAATGTACGTATTCTTAATCCCAAATAAATACACTCACTTCTGAAGTCCAGTACAGCAATTTCGCATATTTGAAGTGGTTTGTATAACTGTCATTTTATACAGATACTCACATCTCCGACCGTTTCAAATATCTGTCTGGACCTGAGTCCCCGGCAAGGGGTGATATGCGACGTTGTACTGCATGTAAGAATCAATTTGTCACATCAGTTTGTTGTGCGTTGGTAGGGGGTGAATCGTTTCTTATTAATAACGGCTTATATTCCATCGTGACCCTTTCCAAGTGAAAGCTTCACGGTATCTTTGGCCAATTGCATTAATTGGTGTTTGAAATACATTAAGTGGCATAAGGCTGACGAGCATTACTGATTAATAAACATCACTGCAATAATTAGGAATTTCCACCTGAGCTGCTGAGAATAACTCAAATGAATTAACCTTTTCACACGGGTTAATAAACACAATTTTTAAAAACACCTTTAAAGAAACGCTACATATGGTGAAGTCACATTCTATTTTTACACGTCCTATTTAAGGCATAATATTTATTTGCAACTTTAAATATTCCATGTTAAACAGTAAGTAAATAAATAAGCATGCAGCGAATACTCGTGCACTGTTGCTGTAATAATGGCCGCGTTCGATCGGTACATGTTCTCATTACAATTGCAGGATTAGCGATGCCCCACTGTGGACATGTGATATGGGGCTCATGCGGACACTTAATGAGGTTGGGTGAGCGTGACCGTGGGGGCGGGGGGGCAGGAGAAGAACACCGAAGCAGGACGATGAGAAAGGATTTACAGCAACAACAAAACAACATCTTTGCGGATGACAACAGAACGCAGTTGTCAGCAACTATCCTTTAAAACTCACAGGCAGCCTGGGGCCGGCGAATACAAGGGCTTATCGACTGCATTTCTGTGCCAAAGAGGCGGCAAGGCTCGGGAAATAACTGCGCCATGCGGCTCCAACAACCAACGAAACATGGCGCAGCCCAAATCATTCTCGCCGCATTCGCTTTGAGATGCACTCGTCGTTATTGCTGCGTCGCCTCCTTTTAGATCACGGTTCGCGAAACTGCAAGGACGTTTAAAATTGGCCCAGAATGAATGAAGGGAGAGTGTGAGAAATTGAGTGTTTTGATCGGCACCAAATGTGCAATTACTTCACTGGACTTATTTTTTTGTGGTGTTGGAGCATTCTTGATATATTTCACACCTAAAACAACATTTCTTTCACATTTTATTGCTATGTCAGTTCATGTGGACGCTTTATAGAATTCAAGCGTGCTTCGATATTTTCGTCCTACCGCTATTAAAACGCGACGAGCGGATGTTTGTTTAACATCCTCAGATAATGAATTCTGCTACGTGCAATATGCCTCCTTTGCTCCACGCATCTGGTATTCAGGGAAGCCCTGTTCAGAGAATTATATTTAGACGAGGAGAATAATTTGGAGGTTGCTCGCACACAGTGACGACCTGATGTGAATCCCATTGACACAATTTTGAAGAGAATGTTGTCCCTGGGATTAAAGGCATGTTTAACACTTTCTCCGTGGTACATTTCATCCTGTGACGTTGTGATCACACGATTTTCATTTCCAGACAGCGAGGCCGTAATTATAATATATATTAGGGGGGGGGACACACACACCCCCCCCCCCAATATTCAAATATGCTCAAAATGTCCCCTCCAATATATTGCTATAAAAATTGCTATGCTATGTAAATAAAAACAACAATTTGCTAAACCCTGGACACAATATCTGGACTTGTCTTCATATAAATCAATGCTTAGATTTCTGTTTATATGATTGTGGTTATGGTTGTATTCTAGATTTGAAGTTTTCGTGACTGCAAGGATCCATACTCTTTGGTTCTTTCGGTAAAGTCACGTAAGAACCAAAGGTTACGGTTGCACTTTATTAATCCCTAATCTCTGCCATTACATACAATGAAACAAGAAATGGTAATAAAAGAAAAAACAGAGCAATGTAATAAAATACACTATTCGACATTATTGTAAAAAAATAAATAAAAAGTCCATCCCATGTGTTAGTGAATTTTTTAATATTTTAGGCAGGAAATTAGTTTTCAAATTTAGATATATTTCTGGGTTGGGATCCCCAGACACCCTGGAAGATTTGGTCCCCCCCAATGTTGACTCCATGGCTACAGCCTTGCCACACAGTAAATAAGTAAAGTGAATACATGGCAATTATTTACCTATGAAAAGCCACACTGAATCTCAAGATTTGTGTCTCTCAGGACGGCCCTGCATTGAGGTGGCTGGCCAATACTATTAACGCAAGGTTGGCTCATGTGGGAGGAAACTGGAAGAACATGAGGTGGTAACACTCAGCACTGCCCTTGCCTGGCCACACCTCGCATCCCCATGCCTAGAACTCCTTGCAGGCCCTGCAGGTCACCCGTACAAGTATGAACGAGGTTCAACATCTGATATGCTTTTCGAGATATGATGGGTTTTGTTGCATTTATGGTGATTTGGTGAGTGTTAAATTTCAATCAGCCACAGAAACAGCATCGCCAGGTTATTCCACCACTTCAACAGCTGCTAAATAACATATTTCCGACAAGTGGCATCTGACGTTATCAGGTTACTTAAAATACATCAATTACTCAAAATAAAATCTGCAGTCTGATGAGATATTTACATTTTGTGGTCACGATTTTTGTTATCGCCTTTGCAATTGTGCCCATATATATGTAAAAATAATCTTAAGCACATGATAGATCAATGTTTTAAATCTGCAATGCATGTATTAACATATCAATCAATTCATTTAAGGTAAAAATGTGTATGTGCACATGCTAGGTATGAATTTCAGATAAAAATATATTCATCGCATGTTAGATTTTCGGACTTGTAAGGACAATTGTGTATATGTTACAGATGTTGGATCATTTACAATAAATGATAATTTAACGGGTTTTATTGCTAACAAAAGTGATGTCACCTGACACCACGCGACATCACATGTGGCGGTAAAAGCATGAAAGTCAAACGTTTGGATGAATCCCAAAAATATTGTTTATATTGGCTCATCAGAAATGTCATATCTAGGTTCAATGTTCAGATTTTGTGTTCGGATTAATCTGAATATTGGGAACGCATCCTGTGGCCTGGACTACTCTGGCTGAAATTAAGCCCTTTGTATTCCACATACATTGTCCATGCAGGTGCACAGCGAGGATATTCAGTTCAAGGCAGCAATGGTTAATGAAAAGTGGCATCGTAATAGACGTAGATACAAACGCGACAAAAGATGATGGCACTTTTGCACTTTAACTTATGAATAACGTATGAAGCCAACTGCGTCAAGATATGGTTCTGTAAAATACAAAGCATTGCAGCCTTTCGTAATTTTATGGAGTGGCCGCATTGTTTCGTGACAATCAATTGAATGCTGGGCTCACTTACGTTAGAATGTAACGCACGTTGAAACACTAAAGGCCTCCTTTCAAAGCTGGCATGTCCAGCACATTGTTTTCTCTGGTGCATTAGTGGCGAGTCACATTAACGGTGCTGTGAAAAAGGTCACGCGATGCAACAGGGTACTTAAAATTATAATAACACATTATACAAATAGTATTTTTTCATCCCAGAGAGCATCACTAGATTTGGATAATCAGCATGGGATTATGCCACATTTGAATACATTTTGTACTTGAATTTCCTGAAGAGAAATCGGCATTGAATTGACGATGCTTAAGCTGCACTTACGGATGCAATGAGACACCGTAGCCATTCCACACTCGCCGGACACTTGTTTAACACCGTAAATTTTTGATTCGTATATCTTTGCAAAAAATACAATCCTGAACACGAAAATATATATGTTATTCTGTGTCTTTAAAAAATCAGCATAGGTTGATGGTGAATTGGGCAAGATACAGCCGTGATCTAATGACGATGGACTTCAAAGGGGTCGCCGGTGTGATTTGAACTACTGACTTGGCAGTGAAAAAAAAACTGTTCTTAAACCCCTCCCCCCCCCACCGGCTTCTGTCCACCCAGCAGTATAAATGTATGCACAATGGTTAGTCCATCAATGTTTTTTAGGGTACATCTTCTTGGTTCTTTCGGTAAAGTCACGTAGAAGTGCAATTAATAAAATAATAAAAATAAAACATAATTAAATAATTCTCACGACGTTTCGGCCACAACGCAAGCAGCCGTCCTCAGGTGGAGAAGCAGATCTGTCGAGTAGACAGACTCTGTCTACTCGACAGACCTGGCCGAAACGTCATGAGAATTATTTTATTATGTTTTATTTTTATTATTTTATTATTTCCCTTCTACGTGACTTTACCGAAAGAACCAAGAAGATGAATCCCTGCAGTCACGAAAGCTTTAAATCAAATTATTTTATATGTTTTATTTTTATTATTTTATTATTTCCATTCTACGTGACTTTACCGAAAGAACCAAGAAGATGAATCCCTGCAGTCACGAAAGCTTTAAATCGAATTATTTTATCATGTTTTATTTTTATTATTTTATTATTTCCATTCTATGTGACTTTACCGAAAGAACCAAGAAAATGAATCCCTGCAGTCACGAAAGAAGCTTTAAATCGAAGTGTTTTAGGGTAGTGTGGGTGCTCCAACCTCCTTCAAGATGCATGACCGGCATGGAAGATTTGATCAAATATCCTCGAGAGGGACTCTCTAGAAATGACTCTTTTGCCAGCAATGGCAAAAGATACATTACGTTGCAGGGCTGCATCTTTACCCATTCGAGGCGTATATTCTTCAAGGGCAATCTTGGTGTAAATCACAAGGTGCACCGCCGTCCCCCCCCCCCCCCCCCATAGCTCTGTCCACAGGAGGCTATCATACTGGTAGGAACCTCTGGTTACACCAGCCCATAGGGAATTATTGTGTCCGTCCGTCGTGAGGGAGGGGCTGGGTGGGGAGGGAGGGGATGGGTGGGGGGTGAGGAGGGTGGGGCTGGGTGGGGGGTGGGAGGGGTGGGGCTGGGTGGGTGAGGAGGGGCTGGTTACCCCGTGGTGCCCTTATAAAACTCAACGTTCAACCTACTCCCGCCGGCTTGTGCCCGCCCTCACAGTCGGGCATATTTGCAGAATAAACCACGCCGCTGTTGACCCTGGCCATTGACCGAGCAACCCAACGTTCCTAGCAGCTCCCTCCGCAGGAATGTGTTGTACACCGGGGCTCATCTACTACTTTTGGTTCTTGAGTTGAAAGCATAAACCACGGGGTGACCAGCCCCTCCCCACCCAGCCCCACCCCTCCCACCCCCCATCCAGCCCCACCCTCCCCACCTAGCCCCTCACCACCCTCCCCTCCCCACCCAGCCCCTCCCTCCCCACCCAGCCCCTCCCTGCACGACGGACACAATAATCCCCTGTGGGCTGGTGTAACCTGGCGGTTCCTACCAGTATTAATTGCCCTATTGTTTCAACGGCAGCGCTAGGAGTTTTAACTGGTGACCTCTGGGTTGCAGGTCCAGTGTGCTAACCATCGCACCATTATTATGACAAAACACCTTTCAACAAACCAAGTGGCATTACGATACGCAAGAGGCAAAATGCTCACCTGTGTGTGCCTGGATCCCCGGCCTCTGATGAGCCTACGGAGGCTCCGCGGGAGCTGGCTGAGGGCCTGGCTCTTCTGGTAGGGATTTCCGAAGAGCAGCGAGAGACCTGCGGGGCATGGCACCGGGGGGGATACAGGTTACGCTAATGCAGCGAAGAAGCCCTCCGGCGAGTTCCGTCTGATCCCAGCTCTGCACATCTTGTGCTCTGCGCAAGTGCACACACAATCGGCGAGTGTGCCCGGCGTTTTGAAGGAGGGATTCTAATCCAGCTCTTGTGCCCGTGCTGCCGACGTCGTGAATTCCGCATACTGAGCAGCGTTGAGATAGAGTTTGACAGTGCTACTACAACGTAGACCTTATAATGGGGGCAAGAGAGAGGTTTCATCTTGACTTAAAACTTTCGTGACTGCAGGAATTAATATTCTTTGGGTCTTGCGGTAAAGTCACAGTAGATAGGTTCAATTAAATTGTTTTTTAATTAATTTCAACATATCTACGTAACTTTACCGAACGACCCAAAGAATAAGAGAGGTTTCAGTGTGAAGTCACTGCACTCTGCATTCGGGTCCCATTACAAACGTGGCATTAATATAAACTGCACAATTATTATTACGATTGTAAATGGAATGTGACGAGGACATTTCTAGTTCAACAATGAATACTCTGTGCTGTTTTAGTTTGGTTACTTCAATCAGAGCTGTGTTCAATAACCCATGTTTATGCGGTTAGTTACTGTATGGTTGTGACAATGGTGGTCTCACAGGTAAGGCAGGTTATCACTATAAATGGGAAACCACGAATATTAATTCACAAAAATACCCTTTATGATTTGCCGGCATGGCACACGAGGAGGTGGGTAGCCAGCACCACGCCCGGCCGCCTTTTTCTCCCCAGTGATGGTGTTTACCCACCGCACAAGTTACTCATTTAAGGATGAGTTGATAAAAGGGAGGCCAAAAATCGGTTAAAGATATTTGCCACTGTTTTTGGTCGGGAGTGGGAATCGAACTGTGATCGCTGGGTTCGTAGTCGAGAATAATACAGATTTAGCTGAGAAAACATGACGATTAATTAATTAATTAATTAAAAATGCACCTACAGTTTACGAAGCTGCACAGATAAAATGTGCACGCAGAGTAATTTATATATTGTTTGCACATAACGTGTACCTGGGCAAGTAACACCACTGAAAAAGACAGGTTATGAATCACTGCCTGCGAAACGAAACATTGACGTCTCCTGTTCACAGCATCTTCATTCGACCCCGAAGAACAATCACAACTGTCGACGAGATGGATGCAGGCTTTTCAAACTCTATGCCCTCAAATGACGATGCAGGGGGGGGGGGGGGGTGATAGAGACAGAAAGCTAAAAGAGGAACGGCCTTGGGCCAGGCAGATCAGAAAGTGTTCCTTGTCTTTAACCTAAGCTCACTCCATCCATGAAATCGATACAGGCAAAGAGAGGCCACTAACACTCATCTTTAAGGGACTGTGATTTCTCACGGCGTTTTTGGTGGTGGCGTTCTATGCAAGTTAAAAGGCAGAGCTATGCAGCACGTGCTGACATGTGTGGCGCGTTGGAGGTGGCGTACATCTGCAATCCAGCAGCGCTTTGTGGATGGTGTGAGTGGGTTTGCACCATCGGCTGTGTGTGTGTGATATTTCCATCCTGAATGAAATTCGTGAGGTTGATAGGAGGTGAGAGTACATCAGGTCAGAGTCGCAACCGGGTACCCGATACCCGTACCCTACCCGATACCCGGTACCCGTTTGCGACCCTGGTGCGGCCGGGTACGGGTACGGGTAGGCCGTGAGTCACTGGTGAGTTACCGTTTGTCACTCATTTCCCAACGTCTTGTCTCTTCTCACAATTCAAGTTCCTAGAATCAACCCACCTGCGCCTGCAACATGGCTTCATCCCAGAGGTCGCAATCAGGTACCCAATACCCGTACCCTACCCGTACCCGGCCGGGTACGGGTAGGGTACGGGTACGGTCGGATACGGGTACGGATACCCGTTTGCGACCCTGGTGCGGCCGGGTACGGGTAAGGAATCAAAACCCGTTTGCGACCTCTGCATCAGGTAGGTTGGCAGTTGAGAAAGTAGATCAGTAACCCATCCGTGCAGCCTTTTGAATGATATTCCCTCGTGTATGTGTGTACTCACGCCTTCTCTAACATGCAACGCACTCAATAGACAATTGGTCAAACTTCACAATACAAGCACTCTCCTGAAAATGAGTCTGACGATTCAGCAAGGCATTTCCAGATGAAAAAAAAAAGTATATTTCACGAAAAAAACCCGCGCTCTTTTGTTGTGTTACATCACATTTCGATATTTTGCGAGGTTATTTAATTTTAGTGTGCCTTTCTCCTAATTTTCAAGCTTGTGTGCCGCGCCACGTCGTCATCTTACTTGCGCAGCAGCAACACGTTGCCGCACACTCATTGATATGCTAATTTTCTCTGCCCCCTCCCTCTCTCCGTCCCCGCCCCCCCACTCTATATTTAAGGGACCGTCACAGAAACGACCCCTCTCTCTGTGCCGATATTTGTCCTCTCTCTGTGTGTCCTTGTGATGTCTGTCTGCTTATGTCTGTCTATAGTTTTCTATTTCGATTTTTATTGCTATTTCTTTTATGCCTGATGATGATTGCTTGTGTTGCAATCGAAACGTCGCTATTATTTTAATTTATTATTTTATTTTTAGACGTGACTTAACCGAAAGAACCAAAGGATTATGTAACTTTGCGTCGAACCATGAGCCATATCTTGAAGGGAGGGACCTTGCCAATAATATCTGGCAGTTCACCAGCATTGATTCAAGCTCGCCTGACTTTGCCGATGAGACACTGTGTGTCGAAACCGGTGCAGAATTTGCTTGTCTTGAAACCAATGTTACTGAAAGTTACGCACTCCCAGAAGGCCGTGAGGAGACTTCTACTTTTTTCACGCTGTATTTTAACTCACTCTGTCTGTTGTTGTTTTAGTAGTTGTTGTTGTCATTGTCGTATCCTCAAATCTTGTAACTCAATTTTAACCCACTTCCCAATGTGGTATCGACTGCAAACTTGGTATACTTATGTCATACTGATGACAATACAATCATAAAAAATAAAACATCTATATTTTTAAACATTCATTATTATATCTTATGTTTCGGCTTGGGTCTAATTGTCCACGGTGAACTGATGTTGGTTGTAATTGGCTACGGTCCCTTACGTGATGGCAAGCTTCGGGGCCACTTCCTGGAGTTGTGGAGTTCTTCCATTTCTAGTACGTTTCATTAAAGCGTGTTTTTAAAAACTTATTTTAAAATATTACTTATTACGTGGAGAGACGGATATGTGAAAGAGATGAGTTGCCTGCTTGTCTGTTTTGCTGTCAAAGGTGGACACCCACCCACCCAAGCACTATCCCAGACTAAACCTCCCCCTTTGCATCTGGGATATGCGCCGTGTGTAAGCGTGTCTTTTAATTCTAGATGTGAAGCTTTCGTGACTGCAAGAATTCATACTCTTAAGCGTGTCTTTTAATTCTAGATGTGAAGCTTTCGTGACTGCAAGGATTCATACTCTTAAGCGTGTCTTTTAATTCTAGATGTGAAGCTTTCATGACTGCAAGGATTCATACTCTTAAGCGTGTCTTTTAATTTTAGATGTGAAGCTTTCGTGACTGCAAGAATTCATACTCTTAAGCGTGTCTTTTAATTCTAGATGTGAAGCTTTCGTGACTGCAAGGATTAATACTCTTAAGCGTGTCTTTTAATTCTAGATGTGAAGCTTTCATGACTGCAAGGATTCATACTCTTAAGCGTGTCTTTTAATTTTAGATGTGAAGCTTTCGTGACTGCAAGGATTCATACTCTTAAGCGTGTCTTTTAATTCTAGATGTGAAGCTTTCGTGACTGCAAGGATTCATACTCTTAAGCGTGTCTTTTAATTCTAGATGTGAAGCTTTCGTGACTGCAAGGATTCATACTCTTAAGCGTGTCTTTTAATTCTAGATGTGAAGCTTTCGTGACTGCAAGAATTCATACTCTTAAGCGTGTCTTTTAATTCTAGATGTGAATCTTTCGTGACTGCAAGGATTCATACTCTTAAGCGTGTCTTACCGGCTCGGAAAGCTGAGCCCAGGCTCCTTTCGGCTTGGTCACATGTGGCTCCCTGGAAGCCACTCTTACAGAGACACTTGTTGGGCTTCACACACGCACCTCCGTTGGCACATGCCCGCTCACACTTAGCTGCGATGAACACAAATGGATGGAGGCAAAAAAAAAACACGGAGATACACAGAGAAGATATATATGTAAAATGATCAAAGAATTAAAGAACAAATTAAATAAGCGGACAATACATCTCTCACGTATCTGTAAATTTAGACCACCCGTCAACCACATGGGCTTCTGGGAGTGCACAATTCCTGTTGACCACAAGGCTCTTTTGGAAGAACATAATCGCAGCAGCAGTTGCTCAACACAAGCACAACTCTGGACCGACTTCAACATGTAGTGTCTCATCAGCAGTCAGACCTGCCTGATCGAACGACGGTGAACTGTCAGATGTTTACAGGGGAAGACCCTCTTTTCAAGATATGGGTTCCAGTTCGACGCAAACCATGATAATATACAAACAAAATAAATAAGCAGAGGATATCTCTCCCCCAGGGAGACATGTTTTGTCTGCTTATTATTTTGTTTAGTTTGTATTCTCCACAACGACACAAATCATTCTTTTGTGTTCAAGAATTAAGGGCATGAGTTGTCATTGAATCATCAGCACAGACACAACCGCTACATCGGTCACTAATACTGCAAACATAAATATATGAGGGTGCTTGAATAAACACAACATTTGCAACTGGTATTTCTAGCGAACATTGGATTCATATATATATGCGGACAGTGTGCACCAATTATTTATGGTGTGACTTCGGTGTGATTCCTCGGCTGTCTTGTGCCCTGTTCTTGACCACTGTATGCATTGTAATAAGGCATAGTGCTTACGGTTGTAGATTTAATGTTTGCACGCGTGTTATTGCGTGTTTGCTATGAATGTGTCACTTGACACCCTGCACACCCTTGTAAACGAGACTTTTCATTTCAACCTCGAGGTAAAATATTTTAATAAAAAAAATCAAATGGATTTTAGATTGAAGTGGGGAGTTGGGGGGGGTCATTACGGATGTTAGCCGTGGCCAGGAATTGAACACGGGTTGCTGGGTTCATAGCGCAGTGTGCTCACCACTATGCCATCTCTCCATCACAAATAATAACAAGCAATGTGTATTGAAAACGATATGTAATGTAATGCACATTACACAGGTGTTTGGTTCTTTTCTATAAAACATTTATACGTGCAATTGCAAAATAGTGACTCTGACAACATATTAATTCTAGATAATTAAGTTAAATGGGTGCTAAATGTAGAGCAGGTGCAAGGGACATTATGAACTAAATACAGATTTTTTTTCTTCCAATTCTAGTTATGGACCAAGGATTAGGAATTTGAAAGCACAACTACATTACACGTGTTTCCCTTTGAGCTTAGCAACTGAGGTACCCGGGGTGGTGAGATTTTTGGTTTTCAGTGACAAAGCAATTTGCACTTAGAAGCGCCTAAATGCCACCATATCCTCAAGATGTTGTACAAAACAGTGGGACATGTATCACAGAGGAAAACGCGATGTAAATATAGGAGTGTATAGTGTCTGCTCTGTTAACTTTCAACCGGTGTAATTCCCTTCCTAACTGACAAGGGAAGGAAGCCAGATGGATGACAAAGGTTGCAGTGACGGACAAGGATTCAATGTAGGGCAGAATGTAAATGCACTATGAATCATTCGTAGTTTGTAATTGGGGCCAATTTGTGCGAGGTGCAATCACAATTCGATATCCAGCAAATAAAGTGGAGAAGGCGGTGAGCTGATTACGAGCGGACGAGGAAAATCGTGATGGATTTCGTCGCATTTGGGGAAGATAGATGCGGAGTGGTGGCACAGTTCTTAGCGTACTATGTCACAAGACCTGACGACCTAAGTTTGATTACCGGTCATGGCTATAACATCATTGGCGAGTAATATCTGTCCTGGTCCCAACCCCCACCGCTCCCAGTTTCACCAACCAGCACTGACCAGAGTGGTGAAGTTTGATCGATAATACCCTACGACCAACATTATAACGCAGACGTATAAACTACTTGCAGGAGCTAAGCATTAAAGCACTTGGCCACTTTCATGGGTGATGGTTTCATCCCATACATGCTTGTGTTCAAGCACTGTGCTGCAGGTCACAACATGTCACTTCCTTGATTCCTCCACCTGCCTCACGTTTGAATGTTTTATTCTTCTTCTGCATGTGCCTGTCGCTGGTAACACAGCGTTTGTTGCCCATCCCGAGTTGCGAATGTTCTGTTGCCGGGACCAGAGAACAGAACATTCCAGAGCGAGGTGGCTGGAGGAATCGGTAGGAGTGCAGTGTTGTGGCGTGCAGTATGTTAACTACCTCGCCCTGGTATGCAGGAGGTCGTGGGTTTGATCCCGAGCTTGACGCCTGCTGCTCTATATTTGGAGTCTGCATCTTTCCCCACGTGGTCGTGTGGATTTTTCTCCGGGTCCTCCGGTTTTTCTCTCCACATTTATAAACATGCGTTTAGAGTATTTGGCTGCTGTAAATGTCCACATGATAAGCCACTTTGTTGGGCTATCAATTGGTGGCCAGGTCGCTTCTGAAAAAGAGCTAATATAACTCGGTGGGCCTTACTTGGTAAAATAAAAAAAACCGCTAAAATTTTAGTAGACATTGTGGTGCTGTGGTCTTTCAGGATAATATCGCACAATCACACTCCGCAGTTTACAGTTTCAGTTTAGTGTGAGTGGCTGAACGGAGCACGTGCGGGAGACGAGACGAAGCCGCCGGGGCGTGTGGAACCCTAGGGCGCTGCCAACCCACCCTTGTTGCAGAGCTCGCCCTCCCAGCCACTCTGGCAGCAGCATTTGCCCGACGAGAAGCAGCGTCCGTTCCCGCAGAAGCGCGGACACTTGGAGGAAAGCGGCGTCGGCTCTGCCAGGACGCGCGCACACTCGGGAGGACTTCTGTGCCTGTGCCCAGGGTGGTGGGGATGGCGGCATGCGTTAAAGTGTGTTGGGTGTTGTGTCGACGCTATTAATGGAGGGCTATACTAACCGGTCCCCGCCATTGCTGGTCTACAATTAGCTGTGATACTCACCGGCTAATATAAACTTCTGTATCCTCAACAGGTCTGTTGTGGGTTTGGACAATTTGCTCTTCACTTGTTTTGTAACCTTTCACCCCCCACCCTCCCGCATTTTTAATGCAGTTCATTGACGATTTAAAGTAGTTGATACAACATGATTGATATTTGTCGATTCATGTTCATCATATGCTGCAATAGTGAAGACAATTTTCTATAAAGCTCGGATAAGATTGCCATATTTTGGCTCAGAGGAGCCCGCTTAAGTCCACCACATTGGCCTTTAGCTGAGACAAGGCACTCGTGGGTGCTTCCACTTTCTCTCCTGCTCTGACTTGATGGAAATAAAAAAAATTCTGGCCATCTGCACTGCTGAGATCCTCATTATGTTCAGGTCCAGGCTCAAGTCTTTCCTCGTCATTTCCAGCCATGACGATCAATCTTCTATGCAGTGTCTTTCCTTGATGTTCTAACATCTTTAGATCCCAACACCTTCTCAAGCCTCGAGCATTCTATCCCTCATTCCCTGCCCTCGTTAAAATACCATCGTCAACTCTGTACACGGGAATGATTACCAAGCTTGAGATGTGGTAGAACAACCTTGAGATGTGGTCACATTGAAATGCTTCATAGATCCATATTGCATTGACACAGTGTGACCAGGGACATGATGGAACAACAGCAATATTCATTTGTTCACAATATCCACATTGAACGTACGATGTGCGCACAAACACAATGTTGTGGAACACAGTGCTTGGTCAGTGATGCCTTACATAGGCGACGGAGAAAGAGAATGGAACGGAATTGAATTGGCGAGCTCTGAGATGATACGCCGGTGCATTAACCGTGGCTCTTAACTGATGTAAGAAAAGTTACATTTTTAAAAGATACATCATTCTCCAGCAGCCTTTGCATATTCAACCACTGCTATTCTCAGCGTCACTCTGCGCCAGAAAGTACGTAACTACGAGCATTACTCTTTGGTTTTTTCGGTGAAGCCACGTAGAAAGAAAACAAATTAAATAATAGAATACGACGTTTCGATTGCAACACAAGCAACCGTCATCAGGTAGAACAAAATTTGAGAGAGAGACAAAACAGAGACACACAGACAGACACACAAGCAGAGAGAGACACACAACATAGACACACAGAGACCCAATGCCTCTGTGTCGAGGCCTTAAATAGAGAGGGGGGTGGGCAGAGAGAGAGAGAGAGGTGGGTCTGCTGGGGCAGCAGCTGGAGCAGAGGAACTTAGCATGCCAATTAATCCACCCCGAAGCGACCTGAGGGAAATAAGATCGAACGGCCCTACGAGAGCCTGGTACAATTTTAGAGAGAGAAATAGTTTGAGAAAATAAAATTTAGCAACATTTTGTTTTCTCAAACTATTTCTCTCTCTAAAATGATGTAACTTTTAACAATGTGACTTTTCTTACATCAGTTAGCAAAATTTTGTTTTCTCAAACTATTTCTACTCTATACATTTTTACCAGGCTCTCATTAGGGCCATTCGATCTTCTTTGCCTCCGGTCGCTTCGGGATGGATTCATTGGCATGCTAATTTCTCTGCTCCAGCTGCTGCCCCAGCAGACCCCTCTCTCTCTCTATTTAAGGCCTCGACACAGAGGCATTGGGTCTCTGTGTGTCTATGTTGTGTGTCTCTCTCTGTGTGTCTATATTGTGTGTCTCTCTCTGTGTGTCTATGTTGTGTGTCTCTCCCTGTGTGTCTATGTTGTGTGTCTCTCTCTGTGTGTCTCTGTGTTGTCTCTCTCTGTGTGTCTATGTTGTGTGTCTCTCTCTGTGTCTATGTTGTGTGTCTCTCTGTGTGTTATGTTGTGTCTCTCTCTCTGTGTCTCTGTGTTGTCTCTCTCTGCTTGTGTGTCTGTCTGTGTGTCTCCGTGTTTGTGTTTTGTCTCTCTCTCAAATTGAGTTCTACCTGATGACGGTTGCTTGTGTTGCAATCGAAACGTCGTATTCTATTATTTAATTTATTTTCTTTCCGCGTGACTTCAGCGAAAGAACCAAAGAGTAATTCCTGCAGTCACGAAAGCTTGAAATCAATTTCGATTTAAAGCTTTCGTGACTGCAGGGATTCATCTTCTACTAATCCCATATCTGCATTTCCCATAAATATGCTAAATTCCTCTTGATATGCAAATTATTTTGTCAAGGCGCTCTTCCCCCTCCAACCCAGCTTAAATAGACGCTGCCAAGCTTGGTGGTGTTTCATTCAGACTCTGTCTTCCCGACAGACCTGTTCTTCACCTGAAGACGGCTGCTTGCGTTGTAGCCGAAACGTCGTGAGAATTATTTTATTTTATTATGTTTTATTTTTATTATTTTATTACTTCCCTTCTACGTGACTTTACCGAAAGAACCAAGAAGAGGCTTCAAATCAAGTTTGAACTACGAGCATATGCAATACGCCACGCCTGTTGTGCAGGTGAAAAAAACCCCCCCACTGATTTCTGGAACAAGAGAACACGCCGACAGTGATGGGATCAAGGTTAGGGTTAGGGTAATGTGTACCTAACGCTAACCCCAAGCCTCGGATTGAAGAATCTCATTAGTGTTTGAGAGGCGCTGAGGATGAGAACGTCATAAAAACCTAATCAAGACTGCCAGGCTAAACCATTTCACTTTAGGCACGCTCTCGAACGGCTCACCCCGCTGTGCGTGCTACGCGCGGCACATGAGCGGTGGAGATAACAGAGTACATATTCTTAGGTTTTTTCGGTAAAGTCACGTATGTAAAAAATGTAAATTAATAAAAGTAAAATAAAACAAAATAAAAAATCACGACGTTTTGGAAGCAACACAAGCCTCCGTCTTCAGGTGGAACCGTCACAGCCACGACAGCTGTATCAAGTAAATGAGAGATCACAATAAATACCACCCCGTATATATACCATTATATATACCATTATATATACGGAGTGGTAGCTCTTGTGATCTCTCATTTACTTGATACAGCTGTCGTGGCTGTGACGGGTCCACCTGAAGACGGAGGCTTGTGTTGCTTCCGAAACGTCGTGATTTTTTATTTTGTTTTATTTTTACTTTTATTAATTTACATCTTTTACATACGTGACTTTACCGAAAAGACCTAAGAATATGAATCCTTGCAGTCACGAAAGCTTCAAATCTAGAAATAAAAGAGTACCCCCCCCCCCCCCCACCGTGCAGAGTGGTTTGTTCCAGCATCAACAACAAAAATGCCCAAACGCATGTGCTGCTCCTAGGATAATGTCGCAGCGTACGCTGCAACACTTTGTTCAATTACAGTAATTGGTTTTAGGTTGTACGCAGAATATTATAATTGTGAACTCAAGACAAAGCCGCAGCCAGATTATTTTTTTAAATGATGGATTCTGAGCACAGGGTCAAATGCTCAAAACACCCAAACGGCTAGCCAAAGCACAGCACATATTTAAGATGTCACAGATAAGGGTTATTTGTGTTTTTTTGCTTAACAGACTGTCAGGGGCATGAGTTGTTAGTGATCGCCTATTAAGGCAGGCGCGTGAACAGCGGGGTGGTGGAGCCAGACATCAGGCCGGGCTACTCTTGTCTCCCCATTGATGATGTTGACCAGGTGCTTCTGCCTCTTCGTGTCCACGCCTAATGGAAGTCTAAGACATTTAATACAAACCATTATTTACCTCTTCTTGGTTCTTTCGGTAAAATCACGAAGAAGAAAAGAAGCATGTTTTATTTTTATTATTGTATTACTTCCCTTCTACGTTACTTTACCGAAAGAACCAAGAAGATGAATCCCTGCAGTCACGAAAGCTTTAAATCGAGATTATTTACCTCTTAAATACGTCATTGGAGCACCTTTCCAGTTATTACCATAGACCAAAACCAAACATCTTATCACATATATGCGAACAGATGTGGCACAAGGAAAGGGGGGAAGAAAATGCAAAATAGCTCGTGTTAATTAAAGTGTATTCGTGTAAGATGGGAATTGTGGGTAATTGGGTTAATGAAGCGTGGGGTAGAAAAGAAGCAAACATTCTGTCTGCAGCCAAAATGGCAACGAATGCAAGGCTACAGAACTTGGCAGCGCATGTAGCTTACATACAATTACAGTAATTTGAGCCTCCAGGACACATCCCCATCAAAACAAAATTAAACATTTGGACAGACCTATAAAGAGAGCCTCACACAGATCCAGGGAGAGTCACACAGTGTGTTACGGTACGGCACGCAACATATTTTGTGTCCACGCATCATGCATGCGATTGATTTTGTAGCTGCTGTAACCGCGGGATCGTTGAATTATTTGCCATACTCTAAACCACATTCTGGCCACCAAGAAAATGTGCGTATATTGCATGTTAGAATCAGAATCTTTATTTATCCTGGAGAGATCCGAATCTGAGCATCCGTCTCAACCTCCTGTACATAATAATTTAATTGAGCTAGGCAGTGTACAGAGTTAATGCATAACCCCCTAGGATACGAAGACTAAACATTCCTGCGGTGGGAGCTGGTAGGAACGTTGGGTTGTTCGGTCAATGGCCAGGGTCAACGGCGGCGTGGTGTATTCCGCAAATATGACCGACTGTGAGGGCGGGACAAGCCGGCGTGAGTAGGTTAAACGTTGAGTTTTATAAGGGCACCACGGGGTGACCAGCCCCTCCCCACCCAGCACCACCCCTCCCACCCCCCACCCAGCCCCACCCTCCCCTCCCAGACCCTCCCCACCCTCCCCACCCAGCCCCTCCCCACCCTCCCCTCTCCACCCAGCCCCACCCCTCCCATTTTTGGATGCACGACGGACGGACACAATAATCCCCTGTGGGCTGGTGTAACCAGGTCGTTCCTACCAGTATTAATGCAGTCCTTGATACATTGCTTATGCATGTATTTACG